CCTCCTCAGGGAGACTGGTCCTCACATTTTCCATTCAGATGAGCAGACTTGTCATGAGGGGACTGCTCTCATGCTCCACTCCATGACCATGTATTTATAAACAGCTGGCTCCTGTGAGTGAAACAAAATATGGGCTGGTCAGCCCATCCAAGGGGAGATGCCGTGTCTCGGAACACCACGTCCAACTGACACAGCATCCCAGGCAGTTAACCGGAGACATCCACTCCTCATTTATTGTCAAGGTTGTGCCCCAAAGACCAGTCGCTGTGCAAACTCAGCTCTGTGTGAGAGTTGTGGCCTCACCCCCTCTCTACCACTGGTGTCCCATCCCCCTGTCAGGCCCCCCCAGCACAGCTCAAGAAGGGTGCGGCACAGTGGGGCTCCTTTCCCCCACACCTTCCCTAGTGCTGTGGGACCTGCAGAGTTTGGGGCTGCTAATAGACTAACACTGTCCCCTGCCACCCTACCCAGTGGTCCCGAGACCCATCCTGGCTGAGGACTTGGCTCCTCTTTCATGTGCCCTGGCCCCACACATGTCAAACCAAGACAGCACAGGTGAGTAGAAGATGGCTTCCGGTGGCCAGTCAGTCACCATCCGTTATGTAACCCTTTAGATGCCAATAAGGCCCCTCGTGAAATCCCTCAGGGTGCCCACAGAGCGCCCCCTGGGCTGGACCATCGTAAAGGGGAACCTCCCCGTGTGTCCAGAGAGTGGAGAGGTGAAGAGTGGGTGGGAGGAGTGTCTCTGAACTGGCTGAAGGCATTCGGCAGCTGGCACTTTCAGGGAATCCAGTGCCCAGAACCCAGGGAGCTGATGTTGAGGAAGGGACCAGTAGTAGGGGCATCTGAAACGGTGTCCAGGAGACGGCCCCAGTGCCCTGGCAGGAGCGACAGTGAAACCTGCCCTGTGAGCAGGCATGTCGTCATGAAGGAGGCAGGAGATGGGGTGCAGTCAGATGTCTCGGCAGGTTGAAAGCGGTCTGATGTTCAGAGGGTCTGAGGCAGCGGTTCTCAACCTGTGGGTCAAACAGCGCTTTCATGGGGATCGCCCGACTCATAACAGTAGCAAAATTACAGTGATGAATAGCAACGAAAATAATTGTATGGTTGGGGGGCACCACAACACAAAGAACTGTATTAAAGGCTCGCGGCCTCAGGAAGGTTGAGAACCACTGGTCTAAGGAGACTGCTTCCTCAATAGGTGATGGAGGAGGGGGAGATGTGATCGGAGAGACCTGGTGCAGGCCGAGCAAAGGTGGACCCAGAGCCTGGTGGTGAAGGGTGAACCCTGATGCAGCCCAAAGCACTGAGCCATGGGTGGCATCTGCAGTCATTCTTGCTGGGGGAATTGCAGCTCAAATAGCCATGTGTTTGAGCTTTTCTGGTCAAAGCCTGTTACTGGGAGCTCTTAACAATATTACAGCAATCCTTAATCCAAGCATAATTGTACAATTAGTGCCGCCATCATTTTGAAAACATTTTCTTTCTTCTTGAACTCTGATATCAGCTCCCCTTTATTCCCTCCCTCCTCCACTCTGCCCCAATTCTGTTATTTGTTCCCCTCGAGTGGGATTATAGTCTTCTCATCTTTGCTATCAATTCCCCCTCCCCCCTTTCTTTAAAAAATGTTGTTGTTATATCAGCTTGTAAGGGGGATCAGAAATGACACAACCAGATGAAATATACAGAGAACTAAAGTCATCTATGTTGTCGGGAGAGACCGGCCCTCAACGAGATGGACTGACACGGACCGTGCTGCAACAGTGTCTCAAACAAAGGAGCACGTGTGGGGATACCTCGGAGTTAGGCAGTATCTCACCCCATTGCACATTGGGTCCCTGTGAGCCAGAATCGGCTCGATGGCGTCTTAACAACATCAAGGTCTTCAGTTGGGGGTGAGTGTCACTGCCATCATTCAGGAGAACTGCTGATAAATACGGACGAGGAAGCATTTTCATTGCATACTGGTGGTTGGTCGGTCCCTGGTATCGGAAAGCGGGCTGGAGCAGTTCAGTGCCACCCCTGCTTCTGGATAACAGAGAATGCGCCTCACCCCGTCCATCCCCCGTTCTTGGCATTATTTTCAAAGTGTGCCTGCTATACCCACTCCGTCTGGATGGACCCCTTGGTTATTAGTTAGAGATCACATTTCAAGGGTGCTTTGTAGAGAAGGACAAAAGAGAAGAGCAGAAATGAGAAGATAAGAGCGTGAACACTTTGACATATTCCGATTATCTTAACCTCACTCCCCTTAACCCATTTGTTTAGATCAATATGAAATTGGATTATTAAAGTATGTGAAACAGATAAGGACAAGGTGAAACTGCCTCTCATTCTTCCCCATAGGCGTGTGTGTGAGGCCACTGAGCGTGAGATCATCAGTTCAGCTCAAGGCAAATCATGCCAAGCGGGCCTTCGATGCCCTTAAATTGACCACACAGAACACGATGTGGCGTCCAGGGTGGGAGACTAGGCCCAGGGCATTTCCTCCAGCTGCGAGGCAGACCACTCTTTGTCAGGGGAACACCAGATCTGTGTTGCTGACGTTGGGCTCAGCTTTGCATGCAGGCTGAGACCCCAGTCGGGCCTGTATCATGAACTATCATGGCCAGCATCAGGGAACGAGGCCAGCGGTCTCTTTCCCAGCGCCCCGCTGTACGCTTGACTGCTTCGTGAGTTGGGCCCCTTCATTGTTCACATTTCAGGTGGCTTATGTCTTGGCCCGCTATTGAGGGCAGTCTGTGTGTGTCCAGGGCTGGACGGATCGTGAGATTGCGCCTGCTAACATTCTCCTTCATTACCTTTGGGTTGGTGCAGGAGGTCTCTTATCAATTACAGAACGAGGGGGCTCCGTTTCCTGACTGACGTCTCTACCATATTTAAATCACCCACAGGGTGAGATGAGCCAAGAAGAAACCACCAGAGGGGGTGACCCCAAAACAAGCCCCTTTTGTTGGACTGATTGGACTGAAAGCAACCCTAGAGGACAGGATAGAACTACCCATTGAGTTTCGGTGACTGTTCTTAACGAAGCAGACGGCCCCATCTTTAGTCCGTGGTTGGCTTGGTGGGTTCAGATGGCCAGCCTCTGGGCTAACAGCCCAGTGCTTCAACCACAACACCCTCAGGGCTCCTTCTGCCAGAGAGAAGGTAGTATAAGTCACCGAGGGCATAGCAGACATCACAGGCTGCCATGAGCACGCAGGTATCGTGGCAACTGAAAGCTGTATGTAATGGCGCACTGCTCCGTGCGAGAAAGATGAGACTTTCGACTCCCATTTCAGAAGCCCACGGGGCAGTTCTACCCTGTCCCATAGATTCCCTTGAGTCAGCGTCAAGAGTTTGGTGATTGGTTTGGTTTGGAGAAGCTGAGCAGAGTGGCCGAAGAGGACGTGGAGTGGGTAGTAATTGAGAATTTGTGGAGTCAAGAGAGGGCTTAGTTGGTTTCCTTCATGCACATTTTTATTAGGCTTAAACACAGAAAAGGAAAATCTCTTTGAGAAGTTGAACTGTGAAGAGGTGAGGCTGAGATAAGAGCAGGACTTTGCACCCACTTGTTTCCGTGTGAGCCCCTGCTGAGCATCCACCTTTCCACTGGGACAGCACAGCAGGGACCTCCTTAATGTAGGCATAAGAATCACCCAGGGATCTGTCTGAGTTACCTGGGCTTTTGTGGATTGTAGATTCCAATTCAGTGTATTGGAGTCAAAGGTAAATTTCAGGATGTGGAGGGGGTGTTGATTTGCAAGGAACCAGTTCAGAGCCCTTGAATCACAGTGGGATCCTGACAAGGCAGGAGGACCAGGTCCCAAAGCAGGCAGAGGGTTCGATGGGTAGATCAGCATAAGGTTAGCAGGCAGTCCCACCAGCATCAGAAAGGACACCACAGGAGTTGTCCTTCAGCCCTGGAGTTGTTGCCAGCATGATGCCTCTCTCCTTCCTGACTGCTCCTTCCTTTCTTTACACTACGAGATGAGAACAGTCTGGTTTGAATTCTGCTTCAAAATCATAGTTTGCATGCACAGAGCTATGTGAACAGTTGCTGAGGGACTTTGAAACATTAGTTCAGCCAGCAGAGCAAAGGAATTAAAGACCTGCTCAGGGTCCCATGTATAAAATCAGCAGATAGCACACTCAGAATGCATCATTAGTGTCACGTGCTTCCCTATCAAAGAGAGTGCTCAAGAATAAAGATGAGTAAAATGGAGTTGGAAAAGCAGCACATGTAACTGGATTATAAGAAAACACTGCTGCTGATTTTTTTCAAATCCTCTGGCCCAGAAAAGATGACCTTTTGAGATTGTGGGGTGCATGGTAGCATTCATGTTAGGAGGATTTATAAGCATCTAGAGTTGAAAGTAGACTCTGGTCTCCTTGGCCCCCAGAGCCCTTGTTCCATGTCCTCAACTCATGGAGACCAGCTGCCTTCCCTGAGCTGGGTCCTGGAAGGCAGGGTGTCTGAGAGAAAGAACACTGCTTGGGCTCCAGAGTCTAGGAGCCTGCCTGCCGAATACTTCATCACTTAGTCTGTGGGGAGGGGCAGGACAGGAACTGCTTCCCGTTCCTCCATCTCGGACAGAAGTGGAGCCTCTTCACGTTGCCCCTTAGCCTTGTGGTCAGAGCCTGTCTCCACACCCTCTCACCCCACCCTTCTCAGACACAACCCGCTTCTCTCGAGTTCATCCTGTCCCTCGAATTCTTGTCCGCAGTGTTGGCTCTTCAGTCTGTCCACACGCAGAGCCCTCCTCCATGGTGGCATTGAAGGCCTCACTGCCTTTTCTCCCTGCCACGTGAATATGCCTGTCAGCACGAGTGGGGCCACACGCCAGCCACCCTGGGTGGGGGAGCCAGCTCCTCACGGCTCCAGCGGAGATGGGCCGCCCTGGCCTCCTCGGGGTCTTGTGTGTGGTTCTGTAGGCGCAGCGTTGGTTGGATGTGTGAATATTTTCTAAAAGGAATGGTGTTTTCTCCTCTCCCCAACTGCCCTTCCCCAAACCCAGGCCACAGAAGAAGTTTCCAAAAACCTGGTGGCCATGAAGGAGATCCTGTACGGCACCAACGAGAAGGAGCCGCAGACGGAAGCGGTGGCCCAGCTTGCCCAGGAGCTCTACAACAGCGGCCTCCTCGGCACGCTGGTCGCCGACCTGCAGCTCATTGACTTTGAGGTACGAGGTCTGCCGCTTGCTTTTTAGACGCAGATGCCCGGGAGCCTTGGGCTTCTCCCCATTTCACCCGGCCCTGTGTGAGTGCTCGAGGTGGCCCTTGTGCCCTTGTGCGGGAATGGAGCACTGTAGTGGATGGTACGCAACTCCCTGGTCCCTGGCCCTCTAATGAGGACGATCAGACCATGCAGGTGTGGAGCTTGGCGAGCTCTCAGAGAACACCCTGAACTTGGCCAGGCAGCTCGCTGCCTTGGACAGGGTGCACGCAGTCTGCCACTCCTCTCCGTGGGGAATGTCCCTCGCCTGGCCAGCTTCCGCTCACACAGCTCCCGGCTCTCTCAGGTGCATGTCCCTGGTGGGCTCGCTCACCCATGAGCACAAGACAGGCCATTGGCCTCAGCCGCCCCAGGGGCTTGGCTCAGTGCTGCTTTAGACTTGGGCAGTGATCTGAGCCTGGAGGAGCCGTGAAATCAAACGCTTTCCATTCCTAGGCCCTGCACACGGACACAGCCACTTTCTCCCATGGGGCCTGCAGGCCCGGCTTACACAGCTGGCTCAGTCGGACTGGCTGACCTCAGGCTAGCCGTCAGGACGAGGACCCAGCCCCTCGGGGTGGGAGGTGCATGCACAGGGCCTGGCCACCTTCCCTGTGCCTTTGTTGGGAATGCGCTTTGTTTTCAGCCCCAGTGTATTATCAACCTGGGCAGCCTGGGTACTGTGCAACAGGCATATGTTCATGGGGAGAATATGTCGACCAGGAACCAGGTTGCATTTTGAGAAGGGGTGGGAAGGTGGGTTCTGAGATTGTCAGCATATTCTCCGCCCCCCCCCCCAAAAAAAACCATTACTTTAGGAGCTGACCCAGACCTCATACCATCCCGTAGTCCAGTCACATCAAGCAGTATTGTACAATTGCTGCCAATCAGTATATCCTGTTGATAATAAGGTTTTTTACTCTGAGATAGATGGACTTTTATTTGTCTTCCTGTAGAGCTGCGAGGAGAACTGGGGAGTTTCAGTGTGCAGAGCAGATTCCCTGTGTGTTTGACAGTGTGTCAAACATCTGAGAGAGTTGTCATTTCCTCCCTCCGGGAAGTAGGGTCGCAGCTGAAACATCGAGTTCCTCCTTCGTCAGCCTTCACCCACCCCAGCTCACGACCTGGTCATGGGGCTTCATTTTTATTTGGGAATTCAGAGACATCTGCTTTAACGTCTTCTAATGTGTGTGCTCCTAGAGCGATTCTAGTGATTGTCCTTACTGCTCTTGGGTGTGCTGCAGGCTGGGTGCCATTCCAAATTGGCACTTGGGCCCATGGTCCCACTGCTCCCACAGCTTTCTGATCACACAGTCCCCGGATGGTGACCGTGCCCCTCGGTTTTATTTAAGAATAAAGCACAAGCTGTGGTTCAGTTCTGGTCTCCGCATTATAGTACTTGGCCCCTTCCATAACGATCCATTGAAGATTTTCCTCAATGGACCTAGTTGAAGGCAGGTTTGGGGAGAGGTGAGGGGTCTCTTTGCCATTGCCATTAAGCTTCTTACAGAATTCCTCAGTGTCACAGCCCAAGGGGTGTAATTCCTGTAAGGAGAAAGTCAAGGTCGCACACGATTTGGCGCTGCTGGTCCCACTCCAGGGAGCCCTGGTGGCAGTGGTTACGCCGGGCTGTGAGCTTCCGGGTCCGCCTTTCTGAAAGCACCAGTCGCTCCTGGAGACAGAGCCAGCTTTCTGCGCTGTGAACAGACTCGGCCTCAGGCACCCATGGGCCCTTCCCACCTGCTCAGGACGGTTGGTGTGAGTCCACCTTGACTTGATGGCAGTGAGGTCCATGTGGGTGGCGTTCCAGGCCCTGTCCATTGTAAGCTAATGGTGGCAGAGCGTAGCTGTGCGCCCGAGTCAGCATGCCCTGTGCGGTGCCCTGAGTCATGACTCGGCCGGCATGGTGTTCATGGAAAAGACAGTGTAAACTATTAAAAGCTAGAATTTGAAATTATAGACCAGTAAAGAGAGAAAATAGGGAAACGTTTAGCATCTGTGGCGGAATGCCGTCAGATGTCCGGTCAGACCTGTCAGTGTACACTGACCTGGGAGGCGGTGGGTGCTCTTGTTTCCTCGGGTCATTGTTTTAATGATTGCATTCTTAATAGGGCAAAAAAGACGTGGCTCAGATTTTCAACAATATTCTCAGAAGACAAATTGGGACAAGAACACCTACTGTTGAATACATCTGCACCCAACAGAATATTCTGTTCATGTTATTGAAAGGGTACGTACGCAGAGGTGAAACTGACACTCTTGCCCCACAGTGAGAGAGAAGGTGACCGAGACAAAACCAGGATGGGGCTGGGGGAGAAGACGGGCTCTCCACTCCCAGGGCAGCTAGTCGTCGAAAACCCACAGGTGGGGGTCACCCTGAGTCAGAGGGAGCTGGGCTGGGGGGTGGGGTATGTTTTCTGTGTTGTTCTGCCAGCTTGTTTTTCTCGGGATCTGGAATGTTGTACACCTGATGATGCAACCTTTGAGCTAAACCAGATTGACAAATGCCCCAGAAACTGGAGTCTGAAGTTAGGCAGGTTGTGAGCCATAGAATCCACAAATCAAACATGACTGAAGGAAAGCACACACACCTCTCTGTTCTGAGAGAAAACCCTTGAATTTTGTGAAGATACAAGGAGGACCGGGCATTGGCAGGCATCCGTGGGCATTGGTGCATGTATACCCTCGGGCTATAAGGACTGCCGAGGAAGGGAGCTGGGGCCAGGGAGCTCCCTGTGTTAGGTCAACAGAGGCCTGTGTGTCCACTCCTTGCCCATGGCAGCGCTCCTTCCGTGTGTCTTTCTGGAGTCCGACTGCAAGGAGATGTGGGGAGTCTTATCAGTTTACAACGCAAAGCAAAGAACCCAGACAACTCCTCTCTACCCCAACACCCAGCCTCCCACATTGACAGGGTCTCTGCTGGGTCAGCTACCTACTGATTGCGCGCCCTGGACACAGTGCACTTCTGTCTGCCTGCCCACCCAGTTGTCTGTGGTATCCTCTTGAGTTGGGGGCAAGCGTGTGACGGGCATGATTGGGAGTCCACTGCTCCTATGGCCCCCTCGCTGTACAGCTTGCTTCACTCTGATGCCGATCTCTGTGTCACTCCCCCTCACCTCCCACCCCACGTTCAGACTTGTTGAGACGAAGCATGAGTCAGTGCATGGGCCACGTCCAGGTGTGCTGCCTCCTCTTCCCAGTGTCTAGCCATCCCTGGAGCTGCTGCAGATTCCGCTGCAGAGCTTCCGGCCGGCCGCGCAGCGCCTGCTGGGACCCAGAGGTGCGCGTGTGAACAGGTTTCCAGGTGCCTGGGGAGTTTTTTCAAGCCAGTATTTAATGAAAAAGTTCCAAGCACTGAGCCAGCCCGAGGAGAGGAGAAGGACCTTGTGTGAGACCCAGGACCTCACCCATGGCCATCCTTGTGTGGAAAATAAATAGCCCTGAAACACGCGTGCTGCCCAGCCCCCGGCACTCCGTCCTTCGTTGTCTTCAGTCCCTCCTCACACAGAGCACACACGGGATTTTCCCCTGCATGCCTGGTACAGTATATAAGCCTAACATCACCTGACGTCCACTCAATCTTCATGTTTCCACCCAAAAGCTGTCTTACAGTTAGTGTCTCTCAGGTTCCAGTGAGGTCTACACGCAGGATTGGATTGGTAGGACTCTTAGCTGTCTGTGGTTGTGAATGTTTTCATTCGGCACATCTGTGCTGTCAGGTTGGCTCCGCACTCGCAGCGTCTGTCCTCTGCACAGAAGAGCCTGCACCTTCTCCGGTGTCACTGGTCCTCGACTTCACCCAAGGGCATGTCTGCCCCTAGGGCTGATTCTCGCTGTCGAGACTCTGGTTACACAGTGGAACTGCCCCTTCAGGCTGCTGGGACTGCCCTTTACAGGAGCCGACCACCTCACCGTCAGCACCGCACCACTAGACTCTTTGAAAGGGGCTCTAGACCCCTCAGTATCTAACATCAAATCATGTAGAACCTAAGATGGCGATTCAAACTGACCACCTGCTCCAGTAGAGATGGCAGCCTGGAAACCCAGGGGCGGTTCTGCTGTGTCCTGGAGCATCCCTAGACACTGACTCCACGGCGGGTACTCCGCCAACAGGAGCATGCATTTGAAAGCCAGCTGGTGGCGGCCGCAGTGTGTGTCCCAGCAGTTTGAATGTGAGTGTGCCTGCCACTCCCAGCACTCACAGGTTGTCAGCCTAGCTGTGGGCCTTGTACTCACAAACTCGACAGACCTCCCTCCTCCAAACCTGCCCAACTTGTCGCACCAGATGGTTGTTCTCCAGCCTGTTAGAGACCCACCAAGGTGAACTGTGACATAGGCCGTGTTGTGAACAAGCGCTTTAGCCGCCTGAAGGCCACTCGGCACCTAGTTTGTGTACCTCGGTGGTGGAAGAGGGTTGGCACAAGCCAAGACTCTGCAGGGCCACGCCGGGAGACTTTACACCGCTCAGCAGCTGCAAGGCCAAGGGAGCACTTGGCGCCAGTGGCGCCTCACTGGGGTCAAAGGCACCAGGCAGGAGTGACCTCAGTGTGGCCCAGCCATCAGGGACTTGTCGGGAAGCTGTATGTGGAGTGGGGCGGGGCGGGGCGGGGAGGTCAGAGGAGATGTGCAGCCCAGGGCTGGGTCTTTATGTGATTAGCAAAAAGCAGCACTTCAGACTCATGGTGGGGTATACTGTTGGCAGGCTGCTATGTAGGGTCAAGCTCTGGTGGCGTAGTGGTTACACTTTGGGCTTCAAGGTTAGCAATTTGAAACCACCAGCCACTCTTTCTACTTCTGTTAAAGAAGAAGAATCATTGCTGTCTCGGGGCAAGGCGCTAGTGACCGTCTCAGCAGCCCCAGGGGCAGCTCCGCCCTGTCCTGAAGGGTTGCTGTGAGTTGGAATTGACTCGGTGACAGTTTTGTGTGTGGTGTGTGTTTGTTAACATAAAACCACATTATTTTCTACGTTGAATTTTTTTGGTCGAAACAGTGTGTTTCGTTAATGTTCATTTGAGCAAAAAGGAAAACAAATTTTTTGAGGTAATGGGGATCTTGAAACAATGTGTGTGGCATGTAAGTCCAAGGGGGTCTCTGTTGCTCGGATTGGTGGAATGAGGCCTGTTTCTTCAGAGTTATGCGTATGTAGACCCTCACCAAGTTGCATTGTGCACTGAAAGGTGGACAGCAGCTAACCCCCTGAGGAAAGTATAGGTGGGCACTTCAGGCCCCCCAGGCCATGAAGGGAGGTTAATTCCGAGCTTAAAGCAAATTCTGATCCAGTGCCCATCGCTAGATTCTGGGGGATGCACCTGAACTATTTCAAGGACACATTTAAAAGGACTGGTGACCCTGAACTGGGAAGTTGTGGAATCGATGAAAGAAGGGGCATGGAACTGCTTTTCACACAGCGCCCACAGCCTATGCTCGGGGGTGTCATTGCAGGTGATCTAAATAAGGGTGCTGAAAGCACCACCGCCTGCAACCAGTGTGTAGCCCAGAGTCTTGAAAGGTCTGCTCCATTCTGGATGATGGCTCACGGCAAGCTGCACGCACTGTGTCTTTGAGAGGCCTGTTGAGATGCTGTGGCAGCTTCCTGAATTTGGAATTTTTAAATGTGTAGACATTGAAGACAAACTTGGGTTTGTGTGTATGTGTGTATCCATCCTCCCAGTGTGTGTCCCTCCTCCTAGTTCTCTGTGTAAGTGGGCTCCTCCCGGGCTGCTGTGTGCCTCTGGGCTGAAGCTGCCAGCACCCACCATGTGGGTGTGGACTTCAGCAGCCCCCCCCCCCTCTTCTCTGAGAACAGTGCCCCTGTGACCTCTCTCTGGGTCACTATAGCCACTTAGTCGGGCCACGTGTCTGAGAAGGCCCTGCTGGAAAGGTCCCCAGTCACTTGGCTTTTCTCTCTGCAGGTATGAATCGCCAGAGATCGCGCTCAACTGTGGAATCATGTTACGAGAGTGCATCCGACACGAACCGCTTGCAAAAATCATTTTGTGGTCAGAACAGTTTTATGATTTCTTCCGATATGTGGAAATGTCAACCTTTGACATAGCTTCAGATGCATTCGCCACTTTCAAGGTACCTTTCCAGACAGACTGGCCGTCGTCCCTCTGCCCTCCCAATCCATGCACTGCCCTCTAGTGGGAGGAGAAGGGGTAGTGGGTACCCGGTCACTTAGCTTTCTGCCCAGCCCTCACGCCTAGAGAGAGGCCCAGAGTTTGAGCCAACCTGAATGAAGTCTGTGTCAAAGGCAGAAGCCCCATGTGGTCAAAACCGTATGGCAGATGTTGCTGAGTTACCATGGTGTCCAGGGTACAGGTGTTCGGCTGGGACATCTCAAGCAAGGTGCCACACTGCAGCCCCAGCTGGCAGAGTCGGTGTCTGTCGGGCCCATCTGGCTCGAAAGGGCCAGCACCCATTGGGATAGGGAAGACCCCTGTGTGATGGGCGAGGGAACAAGAGCAGCCTCACGCTCACCTCAGGGTGTTTACTGCGATGGGAGGCAGGACCTGCTGCGCCATTCCCTTGCTGCTTTTCTTTCTTCCCGTCTCTGCGTGCATGTGTGCGCACACACACACTCCTCACCTCCCTTTCCCTGTGGCTTTATCCATGAAAGGAACACGTGAGAACCACTGTGTAGTACAGCATGCACGTCTGTTTATACCGGCAAGATTCCATGCTGTTTAAAGTACAAGGGGCCTTCACAAAAGTGGTGGAAAAATCCATTCTCTCAATGCCATTTCCCACCAACTGAGTGGTGCTGGCCAGTCAGGGTGACCAGAGAGGGGAGCCAGGACAGAGCCAGGCAAGTGGTCACCACCGCTCCTGCTCTCACAGCTGCCATGGAAGGCCCTCAAGAGGGCACAGCCGAGCAGCTGTCTGCTGCCGGGACACGGGCGAGGCTGCGCGTTCAGGGCTCCGTGCCTGCCTTTAAGAGCGGAGAGAGCTGTTGCCCCAGAACACAGGCACACAGATGACTGGCCTCAGCCGGACCCTGGGTGGGCAGCCCAGCACAGTGGTGGGGTCTGCAGAGGACAGGGTGCTGCCTGCTTTGAACGTGTCAGTGAGCCACAACCCAGGCGATGGCTGCCGGAAAGCTAGACGCCAGGCAGGGCGAAGCATTCCCCCGCTCGTGAGGAATTCACTAGGCAGCAGGGCCATCGGAAGATAGGTGTTGGGCAGGGGCAGCTGTTGGGGCTGGTGGTGTTCTAGAAAGAACCTCCTATGAGAAGACCCATGCACCTTGCGGAGGGGAGGAAGCTGCACTCCGCTCAGGACGCAGAGGTCAGGGCCCCTGCCCGGTTCAGCTTCAGTCACCTCAGTTTCCACCTGCATGACGTGGGCAGTGACACTTGCCTGCCTCGCACCCTACACCTGCCGAAATTGATCTTAGTTATTCTTTTATGACGAGACTGAGCTAGACTTTGCATAGTAATGCAAATATATTTTCCTGGGACCTGCAGGAAAACAGGAGCTCAGTGAAGCCACGGGCTAGTAGGCACACACTGGCGGAGTGTGGGCTCACCTCAGAGACAAGTGTCTAGTGGCCCCACCCAGCTCCGTCCTCTCAAAAGTGGCCGTTCACGACCTAGGGAAAGGCTGGCCAGGCACACTTCTCCAGTGTGTTGACAAGAACCTAGTCAGGGGCCCAGGGAGATCCCGAGAGTATCACCCCAAAACCAAACGCACTGCCACCGAATGGCATTCCAACTGCTGGTGACCAGCCCCCGTCGGCCAGTGTAGCACTGCCTCATCCTCCTTCCACAGAGTAGCTGGTCATCAGCTCACCACAGCCCACAGTGCCACCAGGGCTCCTTGCTCAAAGTATAGCAGGGTGGAACACACACGGTCGGTAACTGAATCCTTCCACTTGAGGGTTCTGCTGTAAGAACAGAGACTGGGAATTTAGGCATCGTGAGGCAAGTTGATCACTACTGAATGCAATCGCTGGGGAGTGCTGTAGCCAGGGAGGTTGGCCAGTCTTCGCCTCGCTTACAAGCCCGGTGAAGGAGCCGGGCTGGTGTCTCCCTCACAGATTAGGAAATCGGAGCCTAGGAATGGTCACTCAGAGTCAGTCCGTCAGAGAGAACCCCAAAGTGAGCCCATCCTATGGGACTCCTGAGCCCACCCTGAGTAGACCAAAGACTGCTGGTCTGGCCCACAGTGCTGCGCCCGGAAGCCGCCTGTGGCTGAGTAGTGAGCGTGGGACCTGATAGCTCCGTGATGGCTGGCCAGCCCCAGGCTGCCTGGGAGAGGCCCGCACATCCGCGTGCTCCGTTCCAGGAACCCTGCCGGCCTCGGCGAGGTTGGAGCTCGGCCACCTTTCCCTGGAGAAGAGAAGACCCGAGAAGGGCTGGCCGGGAGAGCTCTGCTTGTCTGGAAGCGCGTCCTGGGGAGAGGAGTCTCCTCCTTTCTGTTGGCTCAGGTGGTTTGGGGACATGACCTGGGGATGGGGTTTGACTTCCTCACAGGAGGAACCCTTGAACCACACGAAGGCCAAGGGATCCAGAGTTGGGAGACGCAAGTGCCTTGTCCTTGGACAGAATCAAGTACCGCTTAGGAACGGGGCCCATCCATCAGACGAGCAGTGTCTGTTCAGGGACCACAGGGCTGTCTTTGTACTGCTGTTTGGGACCCAGGCTCAGGTGTCTTTTAGGTTTGTTGGGTTGGGGTTTTGTTTTTAGCCCTCCCTACAGTGCAACTGCCCAGTCTGCTGGACTGGGCATAAGGGCCCTGGCATGTTGGCAGGCCCAGGAAATTCTGGGATCCTGGGCCTTCTCCCTCCTGCTGGGTAAATTCTAGTCTCGGAGCTCCCCTCAATTCCCAGCTGCAGTTCCTCCCCCTCTCCTGGGAGTAAAGGCCCCGCCCACGTCCCCCACTCCTTCCCTCCCCAGTGTCCTGTTAGCCCTTCCCCAGCTTTCCCTTTCCCTGTCCTGCAGGCTCACCAAGGCCCTCCTTAACAAAGAACCTGCCCTTCCCAGTCTCTAACCCCGAGGCCAGTGGTGACATCAAACTGGCAGTCATTTCTGGGGGCTCCGGAGCCCCTGCTCCGGCTTATGCAGACCTGGAGCACAGGCAGGACCGTGGCTGCCTGCAAGGCCTTGGCTTCAGAGAGTGGCTTTGCCTGCCTGTCCCTCGGGCCCAGGCATAGCCTCCTGCTCCGTCAGAGCAGCACCTGTTCGTCGTGCCGGCCTGCGCCACCAGCCAGCTGCAGACACACCAGTCCCGTCTCAGCACCCACTGGGTGTTGGGCATTGTCCTCCTGTGCTGGCACGCAGCAGTGGCTCTCACAGACCAGCCCTGGCCTGCGGCCCTCCAGGGCACTGGCCTCAGGCAGCTTTGGTGTGTCAAGTGCTATAACAGACGTGCATGTGGTGCTTCTGGGCCGAGAGCCCCCTAGTTTTCCTCTCCCTCAAATCTGACCCCATGAGCCAGTGCCCTGAGCTCAATCCATCTCTTTTCCCATGTTCCTGAAATAAACTCCAGGGTTTGGAAGTTCGCCTACTCAGTTTTCAAGGGGGGCTTTGGGGGAGTTGGGTATATCCTACCTGACTGTTCCCGTCCTAGTGAGGCACCTGGCGCGCCCCTCCAGCAGTTTGAATGGCTCAGCAGTTTGAGCGGCTCAGGTGATTGGTTCCCAGCACGTTCTCTGCCTTTGTTGACTTGTCTCGCTCACTCAGCTCCTCCTGGTGCTGAGAACTTAGCCGTGGAAGCGGGAGACTTGCCCAGATGGAGCTTACTGGCAGCCAGAGCGAGACCTTCAGATACACTGTCCTACAGCAGATGGGAGTCACCGCTGCAGCCAGACCTCAGAGAGGTGGCCCGGCCCCGGGCTGCATCCTCTGATGAGCATCTTGAGCTCTAGCACGCGCTTCTGGAAGAGCGGCTCTGCTGTGCCTGGCGGCCCTCCAGGAGGCCTGTTTCCAGGCCAGTCTCACGCCGGAACCGACTTGGGGAAGCACTCGTTCACTGCCCCACATTCCCATTCTCTCTCCCCAGCCCATGAGAGCAAGCAAGGCTGGCCATAGCCACCTTCTAGGACAGCGGTTCTCAGCCTGTGGGTCGAGACTCCTTTGGGGATCGAAGAACCCTTTCACAGGGGTCTCCAGATTCATAACAGTAGCAAAATGACAGTGATGAAGTAGCAACGAAAATAACTTTATGGTTGGGGGTCACTACTACGTGAGGAACTGGATCAAGGGTCGCGGCATTAGGAAGGTTGAGAACCACTGTTCTAGGTCCTAGAGGGCAGGAACTTGGTGTGTTTTGTCGCCGTCACCCCAGCACCTACTTTTCCACAGCACCTAGTAGGTGCGCTCTGACCTTTGAGATGCCCCTGGGAAGCCAGGTTGCGGGCCATGCTCGGGTTCCAGGGACTAGGGCCAGGCACACGTCAGTCAGCCGAGCGTCAGCATTTTGACCTGCGGGCCCTGGGGCCCGGGCTCGTGCTTCACAGCAGAAGCCGCTGCCTGAAGCTGCGCCCACCTGACCAGATGGGGCTGCAGCCTTCTGCCTGGCAGAAGAGCTCCTTCCTCCCCCGCGGCTCCATCTGACGACACCCAACAGGCACCTCCTGGGCACCTGCCTCGCTCCCACTCCCACGGGCTCTCTGCTGCCTGCACCTAGCCTGCTTTGGGGTTGCAGGGCGGGGCTGGTCATTTGAGTTTTGTCTCTGAGCTGTGGGAGCGACTCTTCGTCTGTGGGAGACGCGCGCAGGTGTCAGAACGGGGAGGTGGGGGGCTGAGCGTGAAGACAGTTCCTCTTCTCCCATAGGACCTGCTCACCAGACACAAGCTGCTCAGTGCCGAGTTCCTGGAGCAGCACTACGACCGGGTGAGTACGCCAAGCTCACATGGTGTCGCTTGGGCGGGGGTCTCGATCTTGCCTGCCCCACCTGTTCCTGCTGCGCACGGGGAGGGCCAGGAGGAGATTCTGCTGGAAGCACTTTGTCTGTACACTGTGCTCGTCCGTCCTTCCTTCTAGACCCTCTTTCTCAGCCGGCTCCATCCCACCCTCCTTCTCCAGAGCTCCCCGCAGTGGATCCTTTCTCCGCTGCGCCTCTCCTGCAGGAGAAACACTGGATTTTCTCATCGAAGCCCAGGAAATGAGAACGGGGCGGGGCGGGCGGGGCTGTGTTTTGTATCTGTGGAGCTTGGGGTGGCAGGAAAGAACGCCTGAGAGCGGGGTTGGGCCTGGCTAGCAGGCAGGCCCTCCTGCGGGGTGAGACCCCCCACTCGGCCTTAGGACGTGCTCCGCCGTCTTTCTCCAGAGTCGGCCTCAGCTGTGGTCTTGCCTTTCAGTTCTTCAGCGAATATGAGAAGCTTCTTCATTCAGAAAACTACGTGACGAAACGGCAGTCCCTCAAGGTAGGCAGTGTCTCCTGCGGTGCTTCCTCTGCCTGTCAGGGCTTGGGAAGAGGGCTTTGCTGGTAAGGGCCACAGGCTTGGGGTGGGGGGTCTCCCTGTGATCTTTGAAGTAAAGTGTGGGTGTGCCAGGATGGCGTCGGGCCATTGCCTCTTCCCAGAAGAAACGTTTATCGAGAAACTAGCTTTTGGCCAACCTCTTGCCCCTGGGCTGTTTGAATACAGCTTTAGCGACCACCTCTTGCTGCCGTCCCGTCCATGACAGAAGGCGAGGCTGACCTCTGTAAGGCCTCAGCATGCCTGATGTGAAGCCTGGCCCTCCCTTACACCAGGCATGGGCATTGCACGAGCGAGCCTGGGTTCTCCGGTTGTCACGTGTTTGTGCCCAGAGGTCACTTGAGTGCATTTTTAGACTAACCCTGACCACCTTAGGCACACCTCGGAAGACATCCTTCCTGCCCATGGTCTGCTTCCAAAGGGAAGTGGGACTCACACAGCAGGTGGCAAAGCCTGTCTGCATGTGGTCCCTCGGAGGACATGTCCAGCTCGGGTGGAGCGGGTGCAGGGGGTGTCCCTTCTTCACATCCTGGGGAGCATGTGGTAACACTGCCCCATGTCTCCTCAGCTTCTCGGCGAGCTGCTGTTAGACAGACACAACTTCACAATAATGACAAAGTACATCAGTAAACCCGAGAACCTCAAGCTCATGATGAACCTGCTCCGGGACAAGAGCCGGAACATCCAGTTTGAGGCCTTTCACGTGTTTAAGGTAGAGTCCAGGGCCCGGAGTGGGTGCCGGTGACCTCGCTGTGAGTGCCCCAAAGGTCCGTTCCCCTCCACGTCCATACTGAGTGGGGTAGCCTTCCCACCCAAAGACCTGGAGACAGCCTGCCCCCACCCCACTGTCCAGATTTGAGGACCAGAAAGAGCACTGTCCACACTCTCTGGTCCGTGAGGGGCCGTTCTGTCAGCTGACTCGGACTCCTGGCGACCCCGCACACACAGGGTGGAGCCGCCTGGTCCTGGGTCAAAGCCCCCGAGCCTCTTTCTCGCAGCCCTCCTGCTGCCCTCCCCTCACGCTGCCCTCCTGAGAACACGTCAGAGTGCGTCAGCTCACGCCTTGGCGTGGCCAGCGAGAGACAACCACCCGCTAACGCTTTCCACGAGGGCTTCCATCCATCCATCCAAGACGCCAGTTGGACCGCCTGTACCCAGCAGTGTTTCTGCCCTTTTATTCTAAAATCAAATCGAGGCTGATGGGTAAAGTGGTTGCTAAAATGTGAAATCTGGCCTCTTTTCCAAATCGCCACCCTGGTCTTGTCACCCACCGGGAAGCAGGCGCTGGGAGTGGTGAGCTCGGGCCCTGCGGGCCACCATTGCTGCTGTGCTGACAGTGCGCTCTGTGCACACAGGTGTTTGTTGCCAACCCCAACAAGACCCAGCCCATCTTGGACATCCTCCTCAAGAACCAGACCAAACTCATCGAGTTCCTCAGCAAGTTCCAGAACGACAGGACCGAGGACGAGCAGTTTAACGACGAGAAGACCTACTTGGTAAAGCAGATCCGGGATTTGAAGAGACCCGCCCAGCAAGAAGCCTAATTTCCAATAAACAGCTAAAATCATTAAATCCAAACTCAGCATTTGCTGTTAGCTACCGCATCAGGCACTCTTACCGGTCACGAGGAACATTACTGCTAGGCTGCTGTTCACGGAGCGGTTTTACTTTGACCCTCCCCTTTTTCGTTGGTTTTGTTGTTTTTTTCTAGTCCAAGTTGGAGAGCGTAGCCGCTGCTTTCTTGCACACTAGCGCGCACGTGGACTTTCTCTTGACTCCTTTCAGAACCCGAAGGCGCTCGGCTGGTGAGGGAGGGCAGACGTCAGGTGCTAGCGGGGCACAGGGAGCAGGCTGGGTGGTGTGCACCGCGGTCTCCGGCACAGTGTGTGCGGTGCATCACCCCGCCTTCACACAAGAAGGACAGGGCAGAGCTTTATTAGGGATGGGGGAGGAGGGGGGCTGGATCCAAGGTGGGAGCTTTGGGAGGCAGACGGGGTGAAGTTGACCTGCAAATAAATCGATACTGAAACTTAGCAACTTCTCCAAAGCGTGGCGCTTCATGAGGTCAAAAGGAAGATGGGTACATGTGCTTTCCAGAGTGTCTTGATACCTGATTCCCTCGGGACTGGCGGGGGTGGGAGGGTGTCTGTCACCCTGGCCCCGTGAGGGCATTCTGAATCAGGAGCTGGCAATGCAGCACCCGCACCTCCTTTCCACACCGCCTCACGTTCCCTCTGTAAATAACGTCTTAGAGTGCTCCTTTCTTTTCAATGATTTCATTTGTACAGCAGAGGAATGTTATTGTATTAGTATGTAACTATTACCTAATACTGAGTTTTTGCAAAAAAACAAACAAAATGAATGCTCGTATGTAATGAAATTCTTCAGATCGCATGAGAATGCTGAGCTAACACTGAACCATCGCAGCATTAGAGGAGAGACGCAGAGAAACCCAGCCCTTCCTGGCGGGCGTCCACAGGTCGGGCCGCTGAGCCGGAACCGGCCCAGCCCACCTGCCCCACGGGCTCCCCTGCAGTCGCCTCCTCTATCATCCAGCTAAAGCCAGGCCCGGGCCGGCCAGCTGGACAGCAGGCAGGTGATGGGGGGGGCTGTGATTTTGGTGGAGGTTAGGGGGCCATGAACGTGCCTCTTGTTTGGTCCATCCCTGACCCTGCACAGTAGCTGTCCAGCAGAATAAGGCACTGGCTTTTCTTAGGAAGTAAGCAAGAGGCCAGGAGCCCTGACTCTAGGAGCCCAGCCCACACCCCTGTCCTCAGTGCCGTGGCCCGTCAGGATGTCTGCTCCCCCCTGAGCATGACCCATCAGCAGCTCCCAGAATACCACTGGGCACAGGGACGGGCGGGCACCTGCTCAGTCTCCATGCTGCAGTCACAGCTAACGGCTCGCCAATCCGAGTTGGTTGGTGCCCATCCAGCTCGGCTGGAAGAAACAGCCAGTGGCACTCTGGCTCACCACTCTTACTAAGACAGTTGTCCAGCTGCCTGGGAGGCCAGACTTCAGGTCTAAAACCCCCTCCAAGGGACACCGGGTGTGACAGGTCCATGCTCCGTGGAGACCTGTGCTCTATTCTGCTTGGCCGGGGTAGTGCAGGCTGCATGCTAGCTGGCTTGCCTGGGGCTGGCTTTATGAGAGCCCATGCCAAGTAGTTCCCGGCTGGCTGTGTAGGAAGCAGGAATGAAAGCAGGTTCATCTCTGGGACGAGAGGAGCCCCGGTGCTTGGCAAAAGCTCGGCTTGGCTGTGGCGCCTGCGCACGCTCCTGGTGGCCCAACAAACTTGTCTCTGGACACGGGAGCGTCACTTAGACCAGTGGAGGAAGGCAGGTTTCCAACCCACAGCCACTGTCACCCTGGCACTAGAAGCGAGTATGTGGAAGAGAGTGGAGGAGGCCGAGGGTGTAGTATCTCAAAAAAAAAGCAGCAACTGGTCGCCATGGCATTGAGATGGGGCCTCTTGTGCTTAAACACAACAGTGCAAAAGCATTCAGTGTTGCAAAGTGGCATTTGAGGTCCCGGGCATCCGATACATATCTCTGTCGCCAAAACTAGTAGACGGCAAGCGGCCACCCCTCTGCGTTCTGCAGGTTGGATTCCGCACAAGGCAGTTACCCAGTGTGGTTTGTTTTTTTGTTTGGGGTTTGTTTTTTTTTCAACCCTGAAAAAGAAAGAGGTGGAGATGTATACAATTGTAACAATGCCTCAAAAGCATTTCATTTCTCCTGAGGAAAAGTGAATTTCTTATCGGAAAATCTGGCTGGCCCTGTAATTTAAATTAAAATAAAATTTTGGAGAAACAGCACTGTTCCCGTTTCATGGCGTCTCATCAGTAGCTGCACCTGGGTCCCTGAGCATGCAAGCATGAATGTTTTGGCGATTTCCCCAGCTCATCTTCCCACCAGGCTCCCATCTTTCACAGATAGGTTACCACACCCCATCTCAGGCTGGGTCCCTGGACACAGAAACCAGCAGTGGAGCATGTCTGTGTACACCAAAACTAAAAACCAAGACCCCTTGCCTTCGAGCCGACTCAGACTCACAGCGAGAGTCAGTATGTCAAGGAAACGGCGAACCCAAAGCTGGGAGATCAAACCCCAAGCTTTGGCAACAGAGGCAGATGGCCCCTAGGCTGGCAGGTAAGATGGCAGGCTGCCGCCGATTCCCAGAATCTCCAGGCAATATGGCAGGCACTGGCTCCAGACCCAGCAGGAAGCGAGAAAGCCTGTACACTCCTGCTGTAAGCAGGTGGCACACCCCCACCCCACCCCCAAGGAAACAAGGAAAATCTCATCATGGGAGAGACGGGTCAAAGAGAGGAGCCACCGACAATCCTGGCGCCGCCAAGTTGAACCAAATCCCGAACTATCAGACACCACCTCATGGCATCCCTGTCTAGATAGCCCATCAGGCCGGCTCCTCTGGTTTGTGGTAGGACTGAGTCAGCAGTGAGTTCCAATCTGCCCTGATCTGTGGTGACCACATCATGCAACTGCACCATTCTCCAGTGGACCACCAAGCCTTTCTTCCGACACCCAGTGGACTCAAACTACCAATCTACTGGTTAGTAGCTGTGTTAGACAGGGTTCTCTAGAGAGAGAAAACCAAATTCCTGATAATATAATATATTTATTTATAAAGATAATTAGATATATAACGAGAAATGAACTGTTAAATCATATACAGATAAATATACAATACAAGAAATAAACAGTTAAATTAGAAAGCACTATAAATGGCTTAGTGCAACTCAAGTCCGTGAGAGAAAGTTGAGAGACTAGCAGTCCTTCAAGTCTCTGTCTGATGTCAGATCTTCCTCTATTTATAGAGAGAGCTAGGCTATGTCAGCACAGCAGCCAATCACAAGGCAGGTCACCAACCGCCAGTCCCCAGCTCCAGAGCTGTCTTAAAGGGACCTCAATTTACAGCAACATAGTCCACAGGCTAGGCGTCCCACAGGCAGTGTAGCCTTTAAATTGAGGCACAGAACAAGCAAGGCAGCCGCACACTGGTCCGATGATCACAGAGCGAGAGACGAAAGGCAAGGCTCACCAAGCCATCCATCTCTCCGCCCCTCAGTCAATCCCACCTGCGTTTATCAGCCAGGCTGGCACAGGAAACTATCTCAATAGCCAAACATGTTCACCTTTGGTACCAACCAGTAGTTGGATTCCAACTCCTTGCAACCCCAAAAAGCACTCTTATGGACCCCCAGATATCAGCCTTCCAGTGTTCATGCGATGGCAGTATTGTGACTTACTGCAGGGTGCCCTGCCACCACCACCACCACCCCACCCTTCATCCTGCACACCCTTCTGACCTACAGCCTCCCTAACATTTGGTTCCCTCGGGGGACAGCATGTGTGCCCCAGGCCCTTTCCCATTGGCCCTGAGGACCATGGCCAGACATGGCCTGGGACTTGGCTCCTTCCATGCAGCCAGCCTTTAGGAATCTTGAGAATTTCTCGATCCTAAGAGACACCAGAGACTTCTGGGAAAGTTCCCACGTTTGTGAACATTCACAAGATAGAGGTTCAGTGGTTAAGTGCCACCAAGTCGCTTCCAACTCATGGCAACCTTGTGTTCGGCTGACCAAAGCATTGCCTGGCCCTGCACCATCCTCACAACTGTTGTGTTGCAACCACTGTGTCGGTCCATCTCACTGAAGGCCTTCCTCTGGGGGAAGAATTGAGTGAGACACCCGATGTCCTGTTGATCCGCAGCAGAACATTCACCCATTCACTTCTGCTTGTGTGCGTTAAGTCCACAAAGATGGCACCCTTTAGTACACGAAAACACCCGAACGGGAAGCTATTGTTTCTTGCCAAGCCCTCCATCTGGGTCTGTACCCTTCTTGAAGGCAGTTTCCGGCCCTAGCTCTGCCCTGGAGAACGCCGCCCCTCCCAGTGCCCCCACATCCAAACAGGAGCTCGGGCATCCCCAGAGGGCTCAATGCCTTCTCTGCAAGGCTCTTTGCGTTCGTTCGAACAGCACGCAAGTCTGAAGGGGACGATCAGGGCTGTGGGATAGTCAGCGTGAGGTTTCCCACCCATGTCCTCACGGCACAGCCCTGGGTGCCCTGCAGAGGGACCGGGGTGCGTTGCTGGGACGGCCTTTCCCTCCTCGTGCAGTTTTTCACTTTTTAAAAAACTCCCTCGTGATCATCGTGTGTCCTCTAAGAAAATCTATCAAGATGACCTTGAGGGGATTTTCGAGCAGGATAAAAAAGTCACCATAACTTTCTGAGCTGACCTCCGCCTTCAACTGAGCTGGCTCAGCAGATCCCCTGGGAAGCCACTGTTTCTGTGGGACTTTTTCTGAAGGCCTGTAACAAGCCCAAGACGGCTGTACTGAGAGACCTTGTCGGCAGCCGTCCGCTGGCCACAGGCAGTGCCGTTCCTAAGAAACGTGTGCGGGTGTGAACCAGCGCCCGGTGCGATAAGGAGTCACTTGATACAATCCTGTGCTGTTGGTGACGTTCTTCAAGTCAAAGACTGTTCTCGGCCGCTGCCCGGTCGTTTTTCCCCGAGCCTAGCTCAACTGCTCCAGGCTGCCCCTAG